TAACGACGAGGAAATGATAAGAATTTGATCTTTAAAACGAGAGCGAGTCGTCAGATGTTGAAAATTCTCTCAGATATTCTTTCCATACGTTTGGGAACGGCCCGGATAAATAAAAAATAAAAAGACTGTGGTGCTGAATATCGAAAGCAAAGATCAGAGGCTGTAATGTTGTTGTTACTTTGTGGAAAGCTTCATTTTTCTGGCCTCTCTCCTTCCTTTATCTCGTCTGTCCCCCTGACTAGAAACTGGAGTTTGCGGTCGCACTGAATGTCTTCTGGATGAAGTTTTACATTTGAAGGGAAATTGCGTTCAGATGTTGGCCTGCTGCATTTGGCCAGCGTTGCACATGTGGATCAGGCCTGCTTATATTAGTCCAGACAGAAATCTGGTCCTCCCTGACGAAGTATTCTTGGCTCCTAGAAGAAGAATTTTCCTGATGTGACTGTAAAGACTGTCTGAAACACTCAGGCTGTGCCTGTGATTTCTTTCGGGACTTTCTTTTACGTTTTACGTTCATGTAGCAGTTCGGCATCAGATGCTGCAGAAACAATTTGGTCGCCACAGAACGCGGCTTCTTTAAATGAGGCGTGTTTTGTTAATCTTTCTTCCACTCCCTGAACTTATAGGTGTCCTTTATAGGCAACCTTTAATAACTAATGTGTGTCTGGCGGCTAAAGTGAAGCAATCCCAGAGTTTATCTGAGGTTCACTTGGGTGTGAAGTCCCTCAAGCACGATGCGGGTCTGGATGCGTATATGTTGCGTCCTTTCGGGGCTCATTACTGTGCGTCAGTCTGTTGTATAACGTTGGATATCACGGAGGAAACGTGGCTTCTCACAGATGTTCATCAAAACTGAACCAGCTTTCTGTGAGCAAAGTGTTCTTGTCAACCTTGATCATTTTGTGTTTATTTAAAAACTGAAAATTTAACTAAGTCAGTTTGTTTTTGCTTTTTTTAAGTCTCGTTCTCTAGTTTTGTTTGCCAAAGTAGCTGCTGTGTAGCAAAACCTGAGCTCATCAGTCGCCTCTAGCTCATCTCTGTTTGTTGTTCCTCAATTCACAGCGGCGGGACTGGCAGACTCGGTAATGTGTGGGTGCAGAAGCGAAAGGGAGTAAGAGAAAGAGAGATAAATATGGGAGGTGTGAGTGGGGGATTGGAGAATATGCATGGCACAGATCCGCATTTTACCATCCCGGTCTTTCTCTATTCCCAGTGAATAATGTGGCACAGCCCCTACCCAGCAGTGGGCCAGGCACGCCGCCATATCAAGCTGCGGTGGAGGATGAGGTGTCCAGCTTGCCGAGTCTGGGCTCAGACGCGTTCTAGCCCCAGAAGTCATCCCACCCCCATCCCCGACCTGCAGAGAAGAGCACTGGGCTCCAAGATGGCAATCAAGGCTTGATTTGCCAACACATTTCCAATGATTAAAATGTAATTAGCACAAGCGAGCACCTCCTCCCCAGCTAATTTCCACGCACGCTGTGACAGGCAGGCGGTCTGAGGCATCCAGGCCCCAGCAGCAGATGGAGGAGGATGCACCGGGAAGGGAGAAAACCATTTTGCCATGTGACTGTTTGCATCACAAAACCATCAGGACATGCAGCTATATCGGGAAGGAGCCGCTAGGAGGAGGGATTGAGGAGCCCTCGACGACAGCACATCAAATTGGCAGCGTCAGAGCTGACCCTGGCAATGGCTGCCATCCTTCACGCTGTCTTTGCAGCTCCCAGGCTTGCAGGCAGGTTGGCGTCTTCCCTGGGCTTTAACCCCTTCAGCGCTGCTGCAGGACAGCCAGTGTCGGCTTGATAAACAGGCCTCTGTGCACTAGTGTGCTTTAATGAAGACTATATCAATGATAATTAATTCCAAGGGCGAGAGAGGTTAATACTGATGGCAGTTTTTCAAGCATAACCCGAGGCTAACGTCACGCAGAGCGCGCTGTTCAACTTGCAGCAACACAGACAACCAATCAGGAGTTACACGAGCATGTTAAACACACTCTGCTGGACCTTTATTGTTGTCATGTTATTTTTTTCTTGATTGCTCCAACATCTGTTAGTATTTGTGGACCAGTGGATATCCAGAAGGTTACGCTGGAAAAGAGATCACGGCATGCTTGCTTTGCACGCAAACATGTGTGATGTGGTTACCTCTTTAGTGCAGACTTTTTCGCTGTGGGTAGCTCTGGCAGGAGACGCTGCCGTGCCCTGCTGTTGCAGACGATAGCACGGCTGCGTCGTTTAGCATTCGGCCCGTGGCTCCTTCTGTTCCCCTTCTACTGGGCCAGTATTGCTCTCAGCTGGAGAGGATTTAGGACAAGAATAATTTACTTCTACTTTCAGACCAATATAAACAAAAGGCTCGATGCTTGGACAGAGTGTAGGGAAATTTGTAAGAGCACTCAGCCAAAAGAGAGGCCCGGGTGAGAGCGGAGCGGCAATCAGAAGTGGTCCGGATACAGGCCAACATCAACAGCTCTCAGAGCTGAAGCTAATGTTTGACATTCCTGTGTTACTTAAACTAAACACTGGGGTCGAGCTGTACAGTATAATGCTGGTCCTGTGTAAATAGCACCGGGCCTGGTAGACTATCACTTTCCTTTGCCGGCCCCCTCCCAGGGCTAATGGTTTCCTTACTGTACATTACTGTTGCTTTAAATAAGACCGGTCGGTGATCTCAGCGGCACCACTTCTGTTGTTTTTCTCTGTTCAGTACAATAGATTCGTTTCAAACGCCTGACATATGTCTTTCCAGTCGCCGCGGCGTCCCAGGATCGCTCTAAAGTGTTTTTGACGTAGTTAATCATAGCTGCGGGTTTTTGTTTTTTTCACACTCGCATGTCAGCAGCTGTTGTATCACAGAGAACTGCAGCTCGTGCTAACCTGTGAATGCTCAGTCTTAATGATGAGGTGTACTGATGTTTCCAGCTGTGCAGAGCTGAGACCTCGGCTCCGAATGAAGCGAAACATTCGTTCACTATGATCACTTATCAGTGAGCGGCAGCTCTGCCTCAAACGTGTTTTTTATCCTTCTCGAGATGTTATTATTTACTACTTCCTGCTCGAACACAGAGTTCACGGGAGCTTTGGCGGCGTGGACGCTCACATCGCCCGCTCTCGGCTGTCAGGCCTGATCTTAGGCTTTTTTACTTTGCTCATTATAAAGGCATTTCCATTTTATTAAGTTTTCCACCCCCCACCCTTTGTCGCTTTGGGAAATTTGCATACCTCTATTCCTAGGGGGGGGAAAGTAATGACAGCAATTTCTTTTCTTTTCTCTCCCCCACTAGCCGTGTGAGTGCTTCGTTTAGCGGCACCTGCGAAAGCGACAGGCTCGACGATGAGAAGTGAAAGAGAGCAGTTGATTAAATCATCATCAAGTCGCAGCACAGAAAGTCAATTCTGCTCGCCGTCTACAATGATATCCCTTTATCTTAAAGTAATGAGCTATGGCACTTTTGCATCGGGTAATACGATGAGTTCCATTAGCATGTTCCATTTGCTTCACAAGCAAGGGCAAGTCATTCCAGCCGGCTTCTATCTTGGCAATCAAAGCAATTGGCTGCACAGCCGAGGAGCGGGGGAAGCAGGGAGAGCAAAATAAGAACAGAAAGGGAACACGGGGAAGAAAGGCAGGACTCCTTTTTCTCGTGGATCACAACACAATGCAAAAAACTGAAATTACGTCAATTATTTGAACCCCTCACTTGCTTGCGTCGTGCACAGACGGAAAAGCGGCTAATGAGTGCTCAATCGCGTTGCTGTTGCTACATTCTCAAAAGCCCAAACGCCGTTGATGTCGTCTGCTGCGTTAGCCTGTGTGGGAGGCCACGAGAGAGCAGTGCAGGCAGACACGCCTATTTACTCAGGAGCTGGAAGAGATGCATAAATGCAGTTTGGAGCTTTTAATATTACAGACGCCCGCGCGTAATCGTGATCTGCCGTCGTCTGTCGTCGTCTTTATTTGTTATCAGGGCTGCTGCCTTCCTGCGCGCTGTCTTAAAACGGGGTTGGGATGTATGGCGGAGAAGGAGTGAGAGCGAAATGGGAACGTCTGAGGAGTGTTTGCCCAGTGCGTTTATTGCCTCTGCATAATTTATGAGCTGCTGGAGCTGACCATCATGGCAGTGTGCCGCAGGCAGCCCCTTGGGCTGTGCGGGACAGGCCTGTAAATTGGATGCTATGCTCCTGCTGAGCTCGCAAGCCCCCTTTTTACCATCCAGCCCGAGAAGCAGATCAGCCACAAACCCAGCCAGCTACCTTTGAGCTCTGCAGGGCCCCGATCGGCAAAAAAAAGGAAAAAATGACACGGCCTTCTGTCGCTCACTCTGTGGGCCGTCAATCATCCCCCCCCTTCACTCCTGCCATACTTTAATCGTCACCCACCGACCCCTCCTCGCACTCCTGCCCACACGCTGCACCAGCCCCTGCCCGTATTCCCCCCCAGTGCCTTTTTCATTACTGACTCCAGTGCTTCCCTGCACCTCAGCCATATGCACAACTACGAGGGCCGCCATTCACCCAGCATCACGCTAATTAGTTGATAAAGAATTAAGTGGACCTTGAAATTGAAATTGGAACAAAAAATTGAAATCTAGCCCCCTTTTTCCTCCCACCATTACAAAGTTCCCCTCTCCCCGTGTCAATCTGCCATCCCCAGCCTGAAGCAGGAACAACATCGCGCTATTAGAATTCCAGTGGCGATTAGAGTTCGGAGATTCCAGCTCTGTCTGAATTTTACATGGTGCCCGGTGTTAACAAGGGCACGGGCGCTCATGAGAAATTCACTTTATGTCACATTCTGCTGCTTGGATCAGCTAATGAACTGATCTGATGATATCCAGGTGCAGAATACAAGTTACGTGATAAATTTGTCATTAAAAAGTTGATAAGATGAAGGAGATTATGGTGACCACACGCACTGCAAATGCAAACTGTTTAAAACCCCACAAACTGGACATCTTATTCCTAATTTGAGCTTCCTCTTTCCCTCTCTTGCAGTGCGACACTGAGAGCGACCAGGACGACAAGGTAAGATTGTTCACATCGGCCTGAATGTGCTCGGATCCCTTCGAGCGTCTTTTATCAGCGTTTTAAAAAGATCCAAATGTTACTTTAAGACTGAGAATTGAATGTAATTAGAATTAAACATCCTGTTAATAAGTATGACAAAACCTTAATTAGTTGCGCATTAATTATGAATGACTTAATGATGTGCAAAATCTAAATTGAACTGTTCTGGCTTTTTAGGATTTCAATGACATTTAAATGAGACTGCTGCGGCAGCCAGGCTTTCTGTTACTTAAAGCACAGACGAGCATGTCTGCAGCACGGCTGCTATTTCTGTATCTATCCACCTATACGCTGCTGTCTCTTTGTCTTCACTGCACACTGTAGGTCTGTTTCTGTAATCCCAGCTAAACCACCTCCTCCTGATCTATGGTGTCTTCCTGTGTCGAGAGCTTCATTGCTTCAGTTTTGGCACTTTTGTTGCAGTTACAGTGTTACATTGTTACAGCAGTGATTAGCAACAAACAGGCTCTACAGATTTAACAAAGTCCGGAAGTGTTTCTGTTAAAAAGCCAAAATAATGTGAGTTATGTGAATATTATGGACTTCAACAGGTTATAGAACATAAGTCATGGGCCATGGTGGGAAAGCTGATGATGCTGTGTTGTGTACAACCTCAGTTTTTCTTAAATGTTTTCATTTGCTTTAATTATTTTTTACTTTAGTGGTTTTTGGGTTCAATTAAACTGACTGTACTGGGAAAATACACAATTACAAGGTTGCAAAAACTATAAACTTTAGTGCTAAATGACTCCAGATGCAGGAATAACAACTTTTCATATACATTTTTTTCTCCTGGGAGAAAAAGTGATTAAGCTTTGGTGTTCTCGTGTCCTGGAGCAAGTACTGGGTACCCTGTAATTTTAGAGAAGAAAAGAAATCATAACAGATGTTGGCAAACGTTTAAACGTTACGCAAGTAAAGAAGCTAATGTTCCAGTTTATGGCTGTAAGTAAGAATATAGAGGCGTTGTTTTGAGGTTAATGATCAGATCAGTTACACGTGGAATTCTTGGCCCCGTCCAAAGAGGTGCTGCGAGCTTCTTAACCTATTTTACAAACAAACGCTGAAAAGCAGCTTTCCAACATCCAGAAAGAAGAAGAAGAAGAAAATGAGTCATCATCAGTGTCAGAACCTGAAGAATCAAATGAACGACATCCAGAGGTTTGTATGCTTGAAGCGACTTTGTATCCAGACACCATAGACGTGATATGAGTTTATGAGTATGAGGTTGGAAAGAGATTCAGATCTTGTTTCAGGTCTTCAGATTATAAAAGCCTGATTATATGTCACTCATAACCAGAACAGTATTGCAGTGGTGGAGCTTCTGCTCTTTGTGCGAGAACTGTAAATGTATAAATACTGCAAATCAGCGGGCACGCTCTGTTTTGCGTAACTATTTTTAAATCCTTGTAGCTCTGCAACCACGTGAGCTAGCGCAATAATATTTTTTGCATATGAAACCGGAGGAGTTGTACTTACATCTTATGCCATCAGCTTGTCCTCGGTCACAGTTTCCTTCCACATATAGTTTTGCAAAAACTGCATAAAAAGCACTTGCAGCAACAAAAACATAATATTCCAGAAACACGCTTTGCCGATCCGATCAGCTGTTCATAACACTTCCTACGTTGGAATAGACGTCAGCGCGAACTATCGCATGTCCGCCATGACCTGCCCGAAACCGGAAGTGACGTCATTTTCGTGGAAATGGCGTTTTTTTTACCATCAGGGCCTCATGAGCCTATACTGGTGTTTTCAAAAGTTATCTTTGACTTTATGACTTTCTGTGTGGTTTCTGGGATGCTTAGGACTCATATTGCACTGCTGGAAATAGTTTATTTTGATGCATATGCTGCTTTTTTGCAAATTTGTATCATAATATTTATTTTCGTTTTTCCTGCAGTGTATAAAAATTGGTGTATTTCAAAAATAAAACTATGAAGACACTCAAAATAAATTTCCTGTGGTGGGAAACTATTTTGTGCAACTTTTTTGTATTTACAGTTTTGAGGGATAAGCCTCTTAAATTTCTCTAACTAGAAATATATGTTAAAAAACAATTTTTTTGTAGTTTATTGCACTTTTTTGCAATTTATGTAATTACTATGCACTTAATGCAGACATATTCTTAAAATCTGGGCTATAACAGTTGTATTGATGTATAGCAACTTGAAATGCTCCCAAAAATGGCTCCACAGCATGTAAACATATAATATAAGCTCGGACTTGGTTCTATGGTAGGTCTTAAAGGGTTAAGAGGTCTGCAAGCTAAAGGTGACGGAGCGGGAGGACATTTTTGTTGGTTAGAAGGTAAAGGACCTCCGAGGCTCATGGAAATGCATCATCTTCTCAGCTGTGTAAGGGGCGGGTACGAGAGGCTCACGCTCTGTCTTTAAAATGTCCCCGAGGTGAGCTCAAGTCACGCCGATTACTTTTGGAGCGCTCTGAGGAGCCAAGATCGAATCCTCAAACGAGACGCTGGACATCGGTGCGTAAATGTGCATCGCCCGTGCAGCGTTTGGTCTTCTGGGTTCTTGTTTTTCTTTCATGTGGTGACAGTTGGGTAAAATAAAAGCACCTGTAAGCATTTAACCGTTTGCTGCTATTCTGGTTGTAAAGCACTTTTAAATCCAGGTGTCAGTTTGAGCGTACTTTAGATTGTAAAAGCAGCCATATTAGCCTCTGAATTCTAACCAGAGAGCTAGATGTGCTCTAATGATTTAGTAATGCCATTTGCTTGTAGTGTTTAGACTCTGCAGCAAATTGAGTCATTACTCAGTGTTGTCGATTTAAATTGCTCTTGTCTCGGTGGCAATTCCTTCTTGTTTCAGGAAGAGAGCGAGAGCACGGTAATCCCCCCAGTGACTGTATTAATTCACCCTGGCTCACGTTACGCTCCTGATGAACAGCACCGACTACACCTTCCTGTCATTGATTAATTGTGTGTTAAAGTAACAGAGGAGTGAATTAGTAAACGGGGACCCCTATGACAGGGCTGACTCACGCGTTCTTCTTCAATGTAAGGAGTAATTGGAGCTCCCACTCAACGGCCCTCCTTAGTCCACGTCACCTGCCACTATCTGCTCCTGCCAGGAGCCTCGCGCTACGCCCAGTGCCGCTGCCGTCATTTGCATTCTGTGAGCGTGGCGGTCTCCTTTGCAACGCCGCGGCAGAGCAGAGTCATTTTAATGGGTCAAATGTATTCAGATGAGGACAAACGTGGCTTATTTAGTTTCCCTTCAAAAGCAGGAAATGGAAAAAGTGTTCCCAGGAGAAATCATGTTCTGCCTGGTGTAGAAGGCCTCTGCCGTGGAGCTGCCGGGCTCTGATAAGAGACAGCTCGCCGTGTGCACACGATCCCGTGTCGCTGTGCGAGTGTGTCTCTGCGTGTGCTGGAAGCTGTCAGAGCATTTGCTCATTACAAAGTGACCTGTAGGACGGGGCCTTCTGCAGCGTGACATGTTAATGGCATGCTGGGAGACAGGTAGGAGGACGCCTATCAGCAGAGACTCGCCGCACAACACTGGTATTATTAGCCCTGCATTCGTACTGTTAGCATCTCTTTCCCAGCAGCCAGTGTGCATGAAACTGTCCCTTCAGAGGGCAGTTTTTGGGGGGCTGAAACTATATGTGGGGGGAAGAAACTATATGTGGGGGGAAGTGAGCCGTTCTTCCTGAATAATGATCTTGTTTACCGTCTGTCATGGCTCGGCTCGTCCTTTGCTCCAAGGTGCAGAATCGAGATGTCCGAACAGGATCAGGCGGTCACACGGGCCTGGACTCGTAGAGAACAGCTCATTTCCACTTTGCTGAGCTCTGTAGCATCAGGTATCGCTCATATCCATCCTCCAAAGGTCCATAAACAGTGAAGTCTTTTAGAAGCCTCTGAAAGGTCCACATCTCCACTAGGGCTGCCACAAACGATTATTTTGATAGTCGACTAATCAGATCATCATCCATTGGACATAAACGTACAGCTTATTGCACCAGCAGCATCTGCTCTTATATAACTATCATTAGCTTACAGCTTTAAGTGTTTCAGGTGCTAACTAACAATAAAGACAAGATGATAGTTTATTAAATTTTAATGAAATTTGCAGATTGTTTCGGTGAAGTTTAATAAACTCCTTGCTATCTAAAATATAACAGGACACCGGAGTAAATTCTGAGCATCTCACACTTCTGATAATCAGCTGTCTGCTTGACGTTTATTCAGCTGTGTAAAAACTATAACTTTAATCTCAGCCAAACCGATTTACTCAGGAACAAATAAAATACTAAAAAAAGCCAAACAATAACATTTTTAAGTTATCTAAGTGACTTATATATCATGTTTAACCTGAGTAGCGAAAGACAGCGGTGGGTTTGAAAACGATTAGCCGGGAGTCCGGTGTTCTCACGGCTCTAGTTAGCCTAGCCCCCGGCTAGCTATCGAGCTAGTGGCTAACAGACGTCTCCGAAAACGTCGGAGCGCTTTTGAAAATATGTGGTGTCTTGATAAACTGAGCAGATATTTGAGGTTTACACAGCTACATTCTCGCCTGAAAATATGTTAAACGTTTATTTTGTGACCCAGAAAGAATAATAAGAGTAACATTAAAACTAACTAGCTGCCGCCATTGTTGGAAACTGAGCTGGGCTGCGCTACTTCTTCTTCTTCGGGGTTTAACGGCAGCTGGCATCCTTGTACATGCAGTGCTGCCATCTTCTGTTTCAGTCCGTTATTACACTCTTAAATCCTACTACTTATTCCTGCGTCTTTTGTGATCTTACAAAGCTTCAAACGACGCGTCGACTATTAAATCAGTCGTAATCGAGACTAGTCGACTAATCGTGGCAGCCCTAATCTCCACACACTTTAAATATAATAATAATAATAATGTGGATTTTTTATCAGTGTAAGTGCAGCCTGCCTCATTTATTTTCAACCTGAAACGTTCCCTCAACATTTAATCTAG